ACTAAAAGGCAATCAAAAAATATAAAATCATTAAAAACTGCATTATTGGATGAGTGGTACAGCATTCCGAACAATTATGACTTCTAAAAGTTAGTCCACAAAATGAAAAAACGTCTACAGTGTTTGGTTTGATATCCACAAAAATATTAAAAAAAAATAGTAGTGTATAAACTGATTCTTGGCATACTCTATTGGGTCCAGGGATGCGAAATAAAATTATTCAAATTGTACAGGCTTTCAATAAAATGTGTACTTTTTTCGGTCCGACTGTACTTTTCGAAGGAACATTGACATGAAATTGAACGAACTTAAATATGTGATCTTAAATCTTAAATCGATTTATTGCAAACTTAATACGCGCTATTCGGTATGCAGCAATCTTCAAAATTTAATCTCAATCAGACTCCCGTGCGAAATATATATGGAAGCCATGTCTGCATCTGCACCAATTTCAACAAAACAGAATAACGTCATTCTAGTCTCAATGTTATACGTTGTGCAAACGTTCGTGTCAATCGGACAAACATTAAGAGTTTGGTGCACCATATACCTGCAATCGGACGAAATATATGTTTGTGAGCTATACCTAAATCTGAACCAATCTTCAGGAAACTTAGCACACATCATTCTAGGCTTTATTACGTACGCTGTGCCAAATTTCGTGCAAATCGTTTACCTTATATTGGACGAACATGTATATGGGAGCTATATCTAAATCTGAACCGATTGTCACGAAACTTAACAATTTCAATAATGCTTAAATAATGGAATTGAGCAGTGATTCTCACTGCCCAAATGCGAACGCCATCGAGTATTCAAAAATAACATTAATATATGTACCGAAATATTCCTGAAACTTTGAAAAATCACTCTTCTCGTAGAACTGTTACAGAAATAATAATTATTATCTTTATTGAATTTATCAATCTGATCGGGAATATTGAATTTTGAAGCGGCATGGGACACTAAGTTTAAACTATGGAATAGTCATCCTTTCGTAACGACAGCGGTGGATGGCGATTAATTTCATATTGTATATTTAAGCGCTTAAGGGCTAAACAGAATGTTCGCGTTGAGCGTTTTTTGTTATCGCGTTAACGCACGCAAAAAGTTAAAATATATTTAACTCCGAAGCGCAGCGAACAACAAGTTCGAGCGTTTGTGTTATCGTTTCCTTGTGGTTGTTGTATTTTCGATAACACATAACGTAACGGATGGCTCAACGCGAGCATTCTGCTTAGCCCTTTATAATACTTTTAAGTGAAAATAATTTAATATAAATTGGAAATAGTGCTAAATAAAAGCGGATTTACATATAACATTTGATCATGATTAAAGGACGAATCAGGGTTTATTTTCTTAATCCGGCTAAATTTACCATGATTTACCATACAAAATTAAATCATCGTACGGCATGGTTTATTTTAAAACATGATCGAAATCATGATACTACTGAGATGCAACGCGGTTTTTGTGCTAAAAAATACAACTCTCTCACAATGTACCAAAATTTGCAACTGCTTTCACATGTTGTTTGTTTTTAAATTCATCGGTTACCAAATACAAAAATTAAATAACAATTATTTATAGAATTTTTGTGTTTTTCTTTGTTTTTTTTTTTTTTTTTTTGTTTTTTAATTTCCAAGCGATCGCACCATTGCAAAAACATTTCCATTGTTGTAATTCTTCGTTTCATGTTCAAATTGCAAACAAATATTTTTGCAGCAAATTTATAATTTTGTATGTATACTAACAAACATCAGCTGATCCGCTGATTCAGCTGATTTAAAATCGTATATGTAAATGTACTTTAAAAGTCATGGGGGTTCTATTGTATTTTTAACTTCCAAATAGTGTTAAAATTAGTACAATTGTACCATCTTTTGCATCCCTGATTGGGTCTGTTTCTCTACTCAAAAATTTAAAAATTTTTTGAGAGTCTACTACTTTTCTGCATTTGGCCAGAGCACAGTCTCGTCGTAGCTACTTTCAGCTAGCATTGACTCCATATACTCCGAATATGTAGAAATTCAATCAATATTAAATTATTACCAAATAAATTTTTAAAACTTACCATTCACAATCCTTAAAGGTTTGTGGGGACCACACAGCATCAACCATTCATATTTCTAATACAACCTCTGAAAATTTTCTATTACAAATGTATTTGCGCCAAATATAGTTTTAATTAGCTGTCTCGTTACAACCATGGCACAATGAATAGGTAGTCCATTTAGCGCAGCTGATGTCTTGATTAACTGTCAAAGTGGGTAATTTCTACTTGAATTCGATGTGCAGTGTTGCCAACCATTTGAAATATTATATGGAAAATTTTGACAGATAATCGAGACAAAAACAGAGGTTTTTGTTGGTATGCATCACCTTATTATTGCATCATGGTTACAACCTTATCTCTCTTTCGTATTTACTCTCTGTAATTTCTTACTAAGTAATTGTCACTAATTAACATTCCAATGATCTTGAAGTAGTTCCGGTAGTTCATTACACGGAGACCGATTCCTTTCACAAATCCTTTCAGTTGTTTATCATTCTTCCACATCTCATTCGTAAACATAATGAGGGCCCTCTATTTTATTTTCGTTTTTTATCGGATATTCTCTGCTGTTTCCCCTTATTCATATCGGGCGAAACGATTTTAGAATAGGTCGCCATCTCCTTGAAAACAAAACGTCATAGCTGTGTATTGTTAGATTGAGCGCGTCTTCGAAATAAATCTATTTAATTATTAAAAAACTATAGGAATTATTATTAGCATTCTCAATAATATCAATGTAAATTTATACGAGCAAACATGGCTGGTAACAAACTGAATTATCGAATAAAGCTAATGGCCGGAAACAATGTGGTATTAGTCGAAGCTGAGGGTAAGGAATCGGAGATATTTATGCCACAAATTGATCGTAATGGAAGGATAACATTTGTTAACATAATACCCAATCGGCGGTGCTGCAAATTGGCCGAGAAGCTGCACAATCAAATGAATTTTAAGCAGGAGACGAATAATACAAACACTGCGTCTTTGAGGCCTTCACTGGATGGTAATGGCAAAGAGAATATGCGGCCATTGGCTAATAGCACAGCGTTGAAAAGGGAAAAATCACTGGGCCACAATGGAACAACTGGCGGTGAGGGTGATACTTTCGGAAGTAGTGCCTTGCCGACACCAGAACCCTTTCGCAGGGCAATACCTGCACAGAGAATACAAATTGGTGATGATCGTGTTATAAATCTTCCACCAGGTGTTAAGGTACGACGTCTATATCACAACAATAAAGATGGAACACCATGTAAAGTGGGCCGTTTGGTAACCACCAATTCGTCCAGTCAACAGTCAGTTACCCGAGAAGATTTCCACAATATGTCGAATATGTCTTGCAGCTTTAGAATACCCTCAACACCGGTTAATGGTTCCAAAAGCAGTGGCGCATCGGGTGTGGTGTGCTCCACACCATTGAGTAAACAAGCACCACAAAATGTGGAAAATTCCAATTCGAAATGGCGTAAATGTATAACACCTATACGAACTTATTCCAAACGTGGTGGTGTGGCAAAGAATACTGCCGGGCAGAGTTCCGCTAATAAGATAGTGAAGACAACAAATTTCAAACCCACATATTTAATAAATCCCACACAGGGTAAAAAGCCCTCACATCGACTTGAGGTGCGTAAACGAAAATTGGTTGTTGATAACCGGGTAAGGATATCATCGAGGGCATTTAAGCGACAACAACAGGAGCAAAAGTCGGAAGTCAATTCACTGCAAAAATCCGCAGGTGGTAATTCGGTTTCCTTTACATCGCTGCAGAAAAGACATAAAATGCCAATGAGCGCCTTTGATTTGCTAACGAATTCCAATCGTTCACAATGCATGTCCAATAAGCTTAAGGAACTTTTCCGCCAGGGCTGTGTCAACAAGGCCTCATCTACATACAGTAAATATAAACTTCTATGTAATATACCACCTCTACAGGATGATGAACAGGTTTTGGAATTGACACAGATGCAACAGACTTTTTCTAGATCTCCACCATCTGCTGAGCAGATGCCACAACAGAGAGAATCTACAGAGGGACATTTTAAAATGCCGCTACAACCAGTAAGAATACTAAATCCCAGTATTAGAAATGTTGTGCCCAAAATAGAACAGGCTGTTGGACAACAAATAAAACAAGAACAATTAACATATGGGAAACAAGGCGAAACAAATGATAAAGCATTAATTCCAGTTATTAGAAATGTAGTCCCTAAATTAGAACAGGTATCTGTGCGACAAATACATCAGCCCTCTAAACAATTGCAAGATGGAAAACAAATAGCGGTTGGCAATTCCAATACACAATTAAAAGAAACAAAAGTCCTAGTTCCAGTTATTAGAAATAATGCCCCTAGCTCAAATCCGAAGACTGTGCAACAATTAAATCAGCTACAAAACAAAAAACAACAGACTATAACATCAAAGCCTGAAACTACACAACCTTTGAATCCTAAACAACAGGAGACAAGAGTCCTTGTGCCTGTTATTAGAAATATTGCCCTTAGTACAGATCCGAAAACTATGCAACAATTAAATTTGCCACAAAACAAAAAACAACTGACAATAGCTGCAAAGCCAGACACTTTGAATTCTCAACAACAGATTCCAAACTCCAAACAAGGTACTTTGCGGCAAAATCAACTATCATTGAATTCCAAGAATAATCCTCCACGACCGCCTATTAAACAATACCATAGAACCAGGGCCCCTGTTGCACATTATGTCTTGAAGACCGATTGAGTCGATTTTGTTATTTTAATTTCTTTTTGTTTTCTTCTTCTTCTTTTTAAATATTATGTTACATTCTTTTACATAAATATGTATGTATTATATTTTGTAATTAATTTATAATAAGTGAATTGATTTTATAAGACCAAAATTTATATTTTTTGAAATATATCGATGTATTTTTTTAAGAATTTATTGTTTGTATTTTTTTCTCTTATTATTTGAAAAGGCATTCATTAACCCATTCAGTTTTTTGTTTACACTCATCACTGTCCAGAGCATGTGTTGCTGGACAATTGGCCACAGTATAGTACCAAACACATGTATCCACAAACATGGGATATTTATCACAGCCATGTATGTTGGTGTTATTGATGAAAGAGAACACTTCAAACAGATTGGATTTTTCTGTAAAAAAATTTAGATAAAAAACTGTTAGCAATTTTAAATAGACGTACAGTCGAAATCGTTTATAATGACATATCGGTTATAACAACGATATCGAAATATCCGAAAAAAAGTTCTGTCGTTTATTTGATATCGCTTGTTACGACATATCGCTTATAGCCATCAATTTCGCCGTCCCTTGGCCGTCATTATAAGTTATTTTGACTGTAACTTAAAGTTCGGCGGAGTTATTAATCTGAGCGACATTTTGTCACAATTGTTCTCGTATATATATCCTCTAATATGATAAATACAGTGTGGGTCTTTTGTAATAATATGAAGTTTAACAAATTCTTAGACGATGAAAAATTTATAAAATCCCAGTTACAAAAATTTGTGGCCTTCCACTTCACCATAGTTGTGTTAGCGTATAATGAATTCCAAAAATTAGCTTACCAAATTGACCACATCTTTCAAATGCCATCATATATACCGCATTGAAATCTTCATTAGCAATTTGTTCATCTAATAACTTTTTAGCTGCCTCCAAGTTAATCGTTTCCAGACCATCATAGATTTCATAATCAGTATACATGCAATCCATTAAGCACTGAAAGTAGTTTCGGATTTATAAATAAATACATTTAAATAGTTTATATGTGATTCCACTTACATTTGGTGAAAATTTATTCGTCTCCATCATCTTGTCAACACATTTTTCCGATAAATAGAGTGGCCGCCCAGTACAGCATGATAGAAAAGTCTGTAACTAAATAAAATAATGATTCATAAGTTAATATGTAGCTAATGAAACAAGGCTGAAAATGAGAAAAAATATATATAAATAATATAGAACCAAGACTTTGTGTGAAAAATTAGTAGAATGGAGACTGGATGCAGGAACTATACATAAATATTTACGTATTTTAAACCTTGTCTTGGAGCAAAGATCCCAGAGATCGTAAATGAAACTTAGCGACACTGCTACTAAACCAGGGGTTCCCAACGAGTAGTAATCATTTTTTTTTTTTTTAAAGATTTTCTTTATTGATTTATAAAAAAAATTACAATTCATGTGTCCTGCGAAGCTTTAGGCTTGTCTGCAGGATAAATGGAGACCCTTGCAACCAATTCAACAACTGGCACCTCCTGGGTCAAGGATAAAGAAACGTTGGTAACGACATATAAGGCCATAGGGCGTTCCATCCTGAATTATGCTGCCCCAGTCTGGACTTCTTTCCTTAGTGACACACAATGGAGATCCTTGCAAACAACTCAAAATATTGCAAACGGCTGTGTCCAGATGACGAGCGTCGATCACCTCCATGAGGAGACCAGGATGCTGTCAGTCAAGCAACACAATGTGTTGTTGACTAGACAGTTCCTGATGGCATGCTATCTGCAGTGTCATCCCAATCATCACACAGTGATGGCAGATCCACCTACGCAACACATCAGCCAGGACTTCAGGCGCTATCGTGATGGCATCCGAGACGTCATTCCATCGAACATCAACAGACTGTCGATAGCCAACGTTATGAAATCCGTGCATCAACTGGCTGTCTCCGAAACCATAAATGGCTACAGATGTCATAAAGTCCTACAACAACATCCTCCTGCAATTTCGGAGAGTGAGAGGCTTCGTCCTAAGCAAACACGTTTAATACTGTGCACGAGAGTGCATTGTCTCCGGAACCCTAAACAGGTGCCCCTCCTGCCAGCAATGCCCTCACGACACCCACCATCTATTCCGTCCGAGCCTACAAGGCAATTGCCTATAGACTTATGTCTAAAGCTAATATAGGTGACACAATTTCTCCGACTACCCTCTTCAAATCCGATTTCCTAATAATTAACTTTAACTTTCATCAACAGCCAACCTATTACAACAATCGCAAATTAGGTACCCATGTACTCTAAGAATCTCTGTTGTAGACAACTCCTATTCTCCTACAAATATCAAAAAATGGTAATAGATGAACTATTAAAAACTTACATTAACCCCCGATTTTTTCACGTTATGCTATCTTTTCCCGTTTCGTTTTCCCTTTTAAATTTTCAGGATCTATATGGCTAACCATAATGTCATGTCTTCAACATTTTTTATATTTTCTTGTTCACTTTTTTAATACCATTATGTTAAGATCCACAGCATCTAACATTTATGGTTATTTCTGTCCCATAAAACTTTTAAATATTTTTTATTGAGTTCTATTGTAAAGTCATTAAATTTTCAATGTAGTTCCACTTTATTTAAGTTTTATAGATAATGTAATGTTCGTTTAATTATATTTACATACTCGTATGTTTGCATGCTCATAACAAAATCCCTTTAAGACATACCTCTTGGGTAACCGTAGAATGTTCTTCACAATTTTGGCCATTACTCGTAGGTAATAGGTACAGGATTAATGACACAATAAAACAAAACACTTTCAATAATTGGTGCATTTTTTGAGCGATATAAAAAACTCTTTTGTCTTAAGTCTTTTACAAATAAACGTTGAATAAAGAGTTGGAAATTATTTTCACATATTTATATAGAAATCCAGCTATTACTCACAGTCAAGTGCATCAAAATATTCCATTTTTTGATGATGATGATGTTGATTAGTTAATTAATTGTTTATAATTTGTTACACTTTTGACATGCAATTTGGATATTAGAGATATATTGATTGGGGACAATGATAAGGACAATGTGTTTTGACACTATTGGAGTAATTTGTGAAAAAAACATTGTATAGGGAATAGCAAAAGACATAAAATAATAAAATTTAAAAAGTTTATTGAAATTTTTATAATAAAAACTAAATTTATTTTTTAATTGATATTTAAAAATCGTAGTAATACTATTTACATATTAAAAAAATACTTTTAACGCTTACAAGTTATAAACTAAAATTATATTAATATTTATTTATTTTTTGGAAAATAGTTATATTTTTAACATTTGTTTTTCGATATCATTTAATAACCATTACTAATTTTTTAAATTATGAACTTAAATTTTAAAACTAAAATTACACTGACATTAATAATTCAATTAACATGTTTATGTTTTAAAATAATAATTTCAAAATAATAATAATAACAAATATATACATTTGCAGTCGGTTTCTGAAAAATTCTAAATGAATAAAGTCGCGTGACATAACAAATTGACATTTGAAATATATTTGAAATGGAATTTTTCACATATTTTTAAAGCACAGAGTCTCTTAACTTTTACTATTTTTTCGATATCACAAAGGAAAAATTGTTATCGCAGTAAAAAATAGTAGTACGGAAACATACCAAAGGTTTGTAATAAGTCACTTGACTTAGTTTGTCTCGTTTTCTTTTCAGAATCGTGCAATTTAGTTCAGATTTATTCATATTTTAAATTTCCTTAAAATCGAAATAAAATTGGTATTATATTTATAAAATAATAATAAATAAGAAAATATCTTAAAAATTAATTGGTAATCCTAATAATTAGAACACATTTGATTGTTGTCTACTCGGTTTCAATTAATATACACAATACAATAAATACGAGATTCTAACGGCAACGGAAACATGTTTTAAAGGCACGCTTACAGGCACGCAGGTTGTGTATGACTTGTTCCTAGATGAAGAAAAAACAATAGCTATTAAAATCAATTTGTTTTTTGAAATATATATTTTCATATATTAGTCCATACCTGCATTAAATTAAAACACATAGCAATCAATGCCATGCCCAGCAGCAAGTAAACGGCACACATTATAAAACTAACACCCACAGTATCTTTGTCTTCGGTAATCTAAAAGAAAACATTTATATAAATTATACTTATATATTTTAAACATATAACTGAGTGACACTTACTAGGCCTTCTCCAGGCACTAAATCTCCAAAACCAATACTGCTCAACGATATAAAACAAAAATAGCTGCCATCAAGAATTTTCCATTGTTCCCAGCGGGCAAATAGTATCGCTCCCCATAGAATGTAACTGAAAGAGAAAATCGAATTTGGAGTTTTAGAAATAAGAGACAAAAATAATAACATATCAAAATCAAATTGGAAAACAGTTTTGAAAATTTTGAAATTGAAAAAAAAAACTTTATAATACATTAAAAAATTGGACCAATCCCACGATAATCTACCCAAAAATATTTGTAAAAATCTTATGCTCATTCACAATATAAAGTACGTAGAAGTGATAAAATTTAAAGCATAACTTCAGGCGCACAAACATATTTATTATTGTTTACAAACCGGGTTCTTGGGGAATACATTTGATTAGGTTTTTGGGGTAAAAATATATCACTGCGGTATTTTATAGTTCCTACATTCGAAATGGTTTGAAAAATGCGAGCAGTAATTGAATTTAGAAGGAGTCTGCCAAAGCGGGGCTATCAATAAATAACGAGAAGACCAAGTTGATGGTATCAACGCGCAAGACGTCCAGTAGACTTGGACCATATATCTCGGCACCGCCATAAACAAAATTTTGAAATCCGCAGAAGAATAGTGTTGCCAAACAGATGCTACTAGGATCTGAGTAAGCGACTCAAAAGCAAGGCCGCCTCTCTACTCTACAAGACGGTGATACTACCGTGCTTTTGTATGGATCTGAAGCAGGCAGCTCTTGGAGTGTTTAAGAGAAAAAATCTCCGGAAAATCTTTGGGCCGATCTGCGTCGACGGTGAATATCGTCGTCGAATGAAGCATGAGCTGTGCCATCTTTTCGCGGACATCGCCATTGTCAGACTATCGAGCTGCAGCGACTACGTTGGCTAGGCCATGTTGTGAGAATGGGTGAGGATGACCCAGCTCAAAAGGCATATACGAGCGAACGAAAGGGGAAGGCGACGAATTCGATAGAAAGATCAAGTAGAAGACAACACCACGAAACATGGTCTTTCAAATTAGATAAGATGCGCACAAGACAAAGCGACTAGAAGAGTTTTAGGATGATTGTCCCTGAAAAACACAAACAGATACTGCAATGAGCTTATTGCTGTGCTGATGTAAGGGAAGGAGATTTGTCTCCTCTAGAAGATGGTCCACTGGAGGAGGCACTATGTTACAGTTCTCAGGGCGGCGTTCTGGCAATTCTGAATTCTTCTCCATTGCGTAGCACTAGTATTCGCAGACTCGAGTTTGTCTGGGCAGCTGACGTTCTTCAGCTGCAATGGGTGGCAAGAGAGCTCCGAGGACGACATTCAATCTGTGTTCAGCGCTGCGGCAACTGTATCAGTATTAATACTATTTAGACCTGCCCGATAGACAACTTGATCTAGAGGCTCCTTTTTATAAAGTTGGATCTTTCTCTGTTCGTATAGATCATGCAGATCCTTCTTGGCACTTACTGGGTGGGGGAGTTTTATCCACGATATGATGGTTAGGATGATTGTCCCTGAAGCAACCAAGTAGGTATTGCAACGGATGCATATCGCTTTGCTGACGTACGGGAAGGATCTTCGTATCCTCATGAAGATGGTCCACTGGTGTCATGAGGAAACATTTTCTGTAGTTCTCAGGGCGGCGTTCGCTCAACAAGTTTTTCTTATCTGTGCTCCAAGTGTTTCAGCGAGTTGAGTAACTCCGAGAATTTTGTGGTAGTTGGTTGTCGGAATTGTGTGTACTTCGACCTACACATTCAATGACATTCTAATCTTTGCAGTCCATGTAGTGAATAATGTGGCGGAAGATTTCTTGGCGGAATTTTCATATTCCTCGCATGAAAGAAGTCTGCTACACATATGTCCTCAATGATAGGAACGATGCCATAATCGTTCAATCATGTGAATTTGGTATGCCGCCTTAAGGGCGCGGCATACCGCAAAGGTAGTTATTAAACAGTTCTGGAGATATCACTTCACCCTGAGGAACTCCCCGCTTAACTCTACGGGGTTTGGACTTCTTATTCCGGAACATTGTCAGAGGGATGTATTCTCGATGCCCTCAAACAGTGATGATTGACGGTATCAAAGGCTTTTAATAGGTTAAATCATCGATTTTTATGTATGGGGATGGCGTGCAACGATATTTTTGTGCTGCGTTTCTTACGGAGCCCATGTTCATGATTAGAAACTTCATATCTTTCCCTACTGCTGGGGAGGAGTACTGCCTCAAATTTCTTTGCAACTGATGCAAAAGTGAAATCGGCCTGTATGATTCACCTTCATTAGAGTTACCACCCTGCTCATAGTGTTTAGGCTTGGGGAACGATGTGAGTGGCTATTGACAAATTGAGGACTTTGGTCAGATACTCAACTCCGGGCTCGTCCACCTGTTTCAGCATAACCATGGATATTCTGTCAGGACCCAACGGTTTAGAAGGCTTGATGAGATGTTAACTCTCGTTGGAAAAGATCTTATACGACGATCTTATTCGCCCAGTCGCTCTCGGGTTGTACGACAAACTGTCGGTTAAAATAACTGACGCGTCGTTAAATGTGACTGATTTCCTAACATCCTATTTACCAGGAGTCAAGTGCGAATTAACTGGGCAACTGTTACCCACAATGGTTTAATTCTCCATCCACTTATTTCGCTTATGCTCTGCAACTAAACTGCTGACCTTCAACGGGAATTTCCTGACTCTGAGATCTGCTGGGTTAGATCAACGGAACTCATCACTCTCATTTGTTAGTCCAACTGCCTTTGTTGCGAAATTAGGTATCATCTCGGCTATTCGTCCCATGTCATTTGCTAGACCAACTGCCTCTGCTGGAAAATTAGGTCTCATTTCGGGCTGCAGTGGTGTCCCGGAATTTCCTTCCTGTTACCCGTACACCAGAAGGAAGGGAAAGTTCTCTGAAGCGCTGGTTAATGAACTCCCTGAATCCTTGCCATTTGGCTTTCCTATGGTTAAGGAAAGTGTGGCATTCAGAGATGATGAAATTGGCCGGTCTGCTGATCGAGACACTTATGTGGAAGCTGCATAAACAGAAAGAAATGACGGATTGCCAGGTTACGTCATTAACAGACCCAGTGCCACAATGGTGATGTCTGGCGAACTGTAGCAATCTTATCTTCGTATTAACTGTGCAAAACGTTGAGCTATCAATTTGCTCAGCCAGCGCTGTACTCTTCTGGTCATTACCTAGTATACAGAATGCCGCAACTCATGGTGAGCATTGAAATCCCCCAGTATCTGGCAGTTACTATCTTCTAAAAGCGGACTGATATCCGGTAAATAACGTGGTGTACAGTTATTCCTAGGTGGTATATAAACATTTAGAACCTCTACCTCGGCAGTTCCATATTTGATTGCTACTGCCATACATTTAATGTATGTGTCACTAGAGTCCAGCTCAAGTGAGATAGGTCTATACTGGGCAGAATGGTGTAATACGAATGTAAATCCCCACCTCCGCCTTTGGTACGATCCATCCGCACAACGTTGTAACCATTGCAACGCTTCGAACCACAGTTTTCGTATGTAATTCTTTTCGCAGTACACCTGGATCTGGTTTAGTCCAAAGATTCCTTGAAAATTCACTCATTCTCTACATCCATTGAATCTCACCGAGATGACCAGAGCAACCTAGGAAATGTACCCATTCTCTACATCCATTGCATCTCACCGAGATGGATCTATGGTGGATGCGGTTCTGACAAACCCTACAGAACCAAAATCCAGTGTTTTATTCCCGTCCCGAACCAAAAGTGTTCGGAATATAAATATAACTTGCACATAGCTGTAGTCAAGGCAGCCTCTGGTCGAAATTTGACTTTGGGTTTTCTACAATTTGGTATTTCGATGTCTGAATGGATAATAAACTCCTATACAACGATCCGATTTGTTAGGCATATTGAAAGCCTATTTCAAGGTGGAGTGTATACCAAGTTAGGCTCATCCTAACTTCGTTTTAATACTTCATCACTACTTTTTCTACTCACCTTATCATTATGAGAACACAAACGGTTATAGGAACGGTAATTTCGTCGGTACTACCACGTATCTCCTTGTCTATCTCCAAAAAGTCTTCTTCATCTAATATATTTAAAGCCTCCAAACGGCTGCGACTTATGCCCTGGCTACCACCACCATCATTATAACGTGGACTGCGACTAGAACTTGACGAACTTTCCGATTCTTCGGAATAATAACTGGAAGCACTATCACTTGTACTACTGCTCGATGTGTATTTGCTGTGACGCGACTCTTCCATTTCGGCTAACTGCAGATAAAGAATTACCGATTATTTAAATCTCCACTGTTTCAATTGAAGTTCTACTTACAGCTCTTGACATTAGTTCAGCTCTTAGTTTACGTCTTTCACGCAGCATACGTCTTCTGGCGACCCCGGGACATATGCGACACAAACATACCTTGGAGTAGATCCATTTAAATGATTTCGCCAAGACATCACCGATATTCGAGAGATAAAGCAAAAATAAGGGCATACCAATAATGGCATAGAGGATTGTGGCCAATTTGCCCCAATCTGAGCGAGGTGAGATGTTGCCATAACCTTAAAATACGAACACATATTGATTTTTTTTCTAAAAAATTATTTTTTATGGACAAAGAAAAACTTACCAATTGTTGTTATCACTGTTAAAGAATATAAAAATGCACCCGAAAAACTCCATTGCTTGTGTGGATCTATAGCCTCTTTTTCTTGATTTACAACAGCCTTTTGGAAATCGATTAAAATTTCATTGATTCTGAAAAAATAAATGAATTTTGAATATATATTTTTATCTATTGGAGTATCCAACCTACCTCTCCTTATATTTATGACGATCATAAAAACTAATATTTGTCGCCGTCTCGATCCACAAACGATCCAATATGTCTTTCGTATAGTCCAGCTTTACCACCTCCTTGTGCATCGTCATTTGTCTTTCGTATTCGAATATTTCGATGGCTTGAAAGACAAACGCCCCACCGATTGTATAGAATATAACGAGTAATATAATGCCGACATTACTAAACATAAATGCCGTAAATTTACGGCAATGATCTTTAAATTTTTGGAATGGTGGTTTTTCTCTACGCCGTACCGAACTGCGTCGAGATGACATTTTTGTAATGCAAATAAAGTGTTGGCAGGTTCTAAATGAAAATTCCTTGGCTAAGGGAAATTCGAGCTCGTCTTGGCTCCTTGTTATTTCGATCTTCTACGATATTTTGTAAATGGTTTTAGGAGATTTTTCACATGTAAATCTCCCAAGATATATGGAGAATATTTTTTATGTTGGACTGTCTTCTTGTCGCTGAACATTCTCTTTGGCAATATGGAGCATTAGACGGGGTGGGAAAGACCTGAAAGTGATGGAAAATAATACAAATTATTAATTACCGAAAATAATTAGATGCTACCTTATTATATTATTTATAATACTAAAAAATCGAGCGGTATCATTATATGAGGTCTGGGCCGGAAATATATTTGAAAAGAAGTACCAGGGCGTTTTTCTGCTGTCCGTGTTTAGGAGAGAAGCGATTCTGTTGAATCAGATACAGAAATATTGCAATAAAAACGTCGTAATACGATACACTCGAAGGCTTCTGAACAGGTAAATACGCAGCACCTGACATCACATACAGGCTTTCGACCATGTGCCGGGATGTTAACTTGATATTTCCATCGAATCTCGTTTTTATATGCCTTTTAAGATGTGGCACCCTCTTCCAGCTCGATCCGACTGACTATGTAGATGTCCGAGAATAGATGGTACAACTCATGGTTTATTTGACGACGATATTCAACATCGACGCAGATCGGCCCATAGATCTTTCGGAGAATTTTTCTTTCAAACACTCAAAGAGCTGCCTCAAGTACCCATGCTTCAGATCCACACAACAGCACGGGTAGTATCAGCGTCTTGTAGAGTGTGAATTTGGTCTTGTGAGAGGTGGCATTGCTTTTGAATTGCTTACTCAGAACATAGTAGCATCGGTTGGCCAACACTATTCTTCTCTGGATTTCAAAGCTGATGTTATCAGTTTTGCTTCATTCACTACCTCGAAGCTGTAGTACTCAAGTTCCACAGTTGTTCTATGGACGTCTACTGGACGTCCTGTGCGTTGATATAATCAGCTGGGTCTTATCGTCATTTAGGGCCAGTCCCATTTTGGCAGACTCATTCTCAATTTGTTGAAAGGTGCCTGTTACCGCCGACAATATTCGATCCATTATGTCGATGTCGACTGCGTAGGTGAATAATATATGCAGTTTGGTGTACAGAGTGTCACTTCACATTTGCATCTCGTATGACCTTTTTAAACAGGTAACACTACAAACTGTCACTTAGTCCGAAACCTCGTTCGGTATTGAAGGACCCCTCCTTTCCGACTTTAACTGCTGACCTTGTGCAGGTTAAAGTTATCCTGCATAGCTTATTAATTTTGCATGAATGCAAACGCAGACATGGCTTTAAATACCTCTGAGCGGATTGGGCTGTGGAATGCGACTTTATAGCCGTAATACAAATTTATGTGTGGGTCTTAATACATATTTATAATAAATTTGAGAGGACAAAAATCTACATAGCTAATGAAGAATATGTAAATATCTGCCACTAAGTCTACAGTCAAATTATTCACCAAGGGAATAGATTATCGAGGAATAAAAAATGCCGATCCCACATTAAAGCATGATTTTGTGTGTAACGTTCGATAGCCTTTTCAATTTGTAGGCGCAGGTCAATGATATTTGCGATAGTATAAGAAGTAGGAACAAGGTCCTTAAAGTGCTGGTCGAAAGCACTTGGTGACTTAGGTCAAAGATTCCAGGTTGATATCTTATAAGACAATAAGCTGGCCAATGGTTGTTATGCGGCTTTAGTTCGATTTTTGAAAGTAAATTAAACGCGATAGAATAACATTCAGACCCGACCGAATGCCGTCCTGAGAATTGCATCAGGGCGTCTCCTTACATAGCCTCAAGAGATAGACTTTCTCCATCCTGGTCTAGGTCTAGAGAGAGAGCGTGATATTCTAAATATATGTATATCGATATACGGATGCGGTCATCCAGTAAGTAGAACAATGATTCCTATAATAGTAAATCATAGCAGGAGAAGCAGCTGCCAAGCAAGCGGGAGTAATTTTAGAACATCTAAGAAGAGAATGTGGCAACAAACTTTATACCAACTTGGTAGGATACCTAACAAATGCCCAACATATAAAGTAGGTTTATACGATATTTTGCACCTAATTAAGCCTATACATACAAGCTGTAGTCTTTCTGAATTTGAAAACAAGGGAGTTACGATAAGATTTGGCATGACTACACCTCTTTATAGACTAAATTTGCACGTTTAGACCTGTTACAACAATAACAACTTCATTTGGTACTGCTGTCGCTGAGTTGACAATCCCTGACCAAGTTGAACTTGGGTCGTTCCAGAGCGTGGGAACGTACCACCTTGGGGTTGTCTTCGATAACCTCCTTCATTTCTTCTCACAGTCCAATTACATACACCAGAAGGTGAAACATAAAAATAAAGTTCTTAAAGCTTTGGCTGGCACCTCCTGGAGCAAGGATAAAGAAACGTTGGTAACGACATATAAGGCCATAGGGCGTTCCATCCAGAATTATGCTGCCCCAGTCTGGACTTATTTCTTTAGTGACTCAAAATGGAGATCCTTGTAAACAACTCAAAATAATGCACTCTGAATTGCAACCGGCTTTGTAATGATGACGAGCGTCGATCACCTCCATGAGGAGACAAGGATGCTGCCAGTCAAGCAACATAATATGTTGTTGACTAGACAGTTCCTGCCGGCATGCTATCTGCCGTGTCATCCCAACCATCACACAGATCCACCTCCGCGACACATCCGCCAGGACTTCATGCGCTATCGTGATGGCATCCAAGACGTCATTCCATGGGCCGTCAACAGCTTGTCGATAGCGAACGCGATGAAATCCGTGTATCAACTGGCGGTCTTCGAAGTTTAAAATGGCTACAGATGCAATAAAGTCCTACAACAATATCCTTCTGCAATTTCGGCCTAGGCAAACCCGTTCAATTCTGGCACATCTAAGGTCCGGATACAGCAATGTTCTTAACTCGTATCGAGAGCGCATTGTCCCCTAAACAGGTGCCACTCCTGCCAGAAAAACCCTCACGACACACACAATTTATTCAATTGTCCGTCCGAGCCTACAAGTCTATCGTCTATAGACTTATGGCTAAAGCCAATAGAGGTGGCACAATTTCTCCGGCTACCCTCTTCAAATCCGATTTCCTAATAATTAATTTCCATTGTGTTTAAGCCTTTTCAGTCCTAAGCAATGGTGTAATGTTATAAACGTTTCCATTTTTATATTCAAATAATTGTGACTGTAAAACAAAGCATACTTGTAGGCATTTTATTATTTTGTTTCTCTCTCTCTCTTTCCAATGAGGAGAGTGAAAGAGAATAAATAAATACCGGTATTTTCAAATTCATTTGACCATGGTAGTATTTTTTTTTGATTGCCTGCGGATCGCAAATCATTATCGAAATAAATCATTTTTCTATTTTCTTTTGCCAGATGTAAGAAAACACAAGTATCTAAACAACAACAATAATAACAACAAACAATAGAATCACTCACAATATTGATGATAACTATATTAATATTGTCTGTGGATCGGTTTTTTCATTTGGGTTTTGGAAAATAATAACTAATGGCATTTTATCTTTTATAGATGAGTTTCACATGACCCAATGGTCGGAATGGATGGAATTTTAAGAGCTGGAAAATTGTTCTGTGGCATAATAATTTGAAAGCACATTGCTTAATTTCTATATTTAAAATGTTTTATTAATAACATATAATTTGGAAGGTGTATTGATTGTTGAAAGCCCTTGAAAACCCGTTATGAGTTTGAGTTATTCAAAAACAGATTTTCCGTAATTCCTGGAAATCGTATTTACATTGTTGAGAAGAGAACAATCCCAACCCAACCTTAACAGATAGGTAGAGAATCGAACTCAAATTCCAAGTCTAAACACGAAAATAAAACCAACATTATCGTCTTAGAATGCCGGAGGACCGAAGAGGCTGATAAGAAGATGGAAGAAGTGAACAAGTATATTGTTAAGCTCACAATATGAAGGAAATGGCTATCTGGGACATACTAGCAGAAACTGTCTAGGACAGACCGGAGAAACAAGAGCAAACAGCAAAAGCATTTCCAGAATCATAAGAGTACACTACCTCAGGCGAATAGGATCAGGTCTCCGGAAGAGCTGATGAATGCCAAAACCTTTTAAGTAAGCCTAACCAAAACTAAAATCCATCGACTGAAGGCGGCAAAGCTGACTTTAGTATACAGAAGGCGAGCAAATAAACTAATCGGTCTGTACAAGAGTAATGTGCAACATCTGGTAAAGTGCCGCCATCTTATGCGAACATTTCCAGAAGGCGCCTGGTATACTAAAAAGGGAGACCCATAAGGAAGAGGCATATGTCAGCAACAACATAATGATGATCCCCTGCTGCAATGAGAAACCGGGGACTCTCCTTGTGGTAGGCTTGGACAAGTCTTCAATGGCAAGGCTAGGGTAAGGCGCACTACTTCAAAATTTGGAAGGCAAGGTTAGAGACAAAAACAGCGAGGAATCAAAAAGCATCGAGGGAGAAACCTCCAGCAACAAAATTGAGGGACCCGAGAAGATAACTGTTTTCAAGAAAACTTTTTAAATGTATATCTACCGGAGTAAGATGGCAACAATGGCTCTGAAGAAGAAACTAGTCAAAAATAATATACACATCAGGCTAATCCTGAAACATCGACCGAGAACCAGTATATCTGGTTTATCTTTAACCCAGACTTATGAACATCGAGAGCAAGTGTACTGAAGCTGGGAAATGGTATCGTTGGACTCGCCAATACCACCAACAATGGCGGAGCTGTAGCGACTGATGAGGAAAGCAAAGGAAATAGGTAACGATGAACTGGTTTTAGACATATGTAAGTCTGTGAGAATAAGATTTGTTGGATCGCAGAGACAGTTGAATTGGTTATGTATGTCGTGAGGCGTTTACTGCCAGGAATAATATATTTAGGATTCCGGGGCCAATGCGTTC